TGTTTTTTGTTCTTTGTAGGCTCGTGAGTTTGCAAATGAGCTTCGTGCTAGTACAAAGGCATCTAGGAATCCAACTGTATGGCTTGAAGGTTCCACAGGTTCCAACCAGACATTAAATAATGCAGACACGTCTACCGTTTCTGAAGCATATGCTAAAATGCTTACAATATTTATCCCACTACTTGTGGATGAGGTTACCTTTTGGACTTTCTGCTCATTTTCTGTGGGGTGCTTCTGTAAAAATTGACTAGTTTGGTACAAATATATCTTCTCTTGATTGAGTACTCTGTATTTTAAATTTTGCAGAGTTCTTTCTTTGCACATTTTATGTGCTTTGAAGTTCCTGCACTTGTTCCACCTGGAGGACTTGCCAATGGCAATAAAAGTGTGAATGATGATGATGACGATTTAGGCATCATGGACATTGATGACAATGAAAGCAAAGGTATTACTTGCTTTTTTCATATTTTATTCTTAATTTGCTTTCACTTTATTTACTTTTGTAAATAAGGTCCTGCTTTGAATGTGACCTATAGTGTTTTTTTAGCTCTACAATAAAGAGCTTATTTAGCTGGGTAGGATAACCTGTTGGATAAGGAGCTTAAACAAGCACTTTTAAGACAAATTATTTTCTGTTAGCTTGAAACAAAAACATTTTGTGTAGGCAACAGAGTGTTGTCACGAATGTGCATGTCTTTAATAGTTGTGTATATGATGTAGTTCATTCTATTATTCTGGATAATATCATGGTGATTCTAGAAGAGAGAGAGAACATGGGGGAGACGTGTGTAATGCCAGAAGAGAATAATGGATTCACTCTATCCAAGGCTCAGTCTGGATAGAGTTTAACTTGGCAGTTGGCACTTTAAAGATTATTTTGAAAAATGGCTTAGAACTGTTTATCTGGGGTGTCCATGCAAGAGGCATTTGAATAGCTGTTTTCCAGATTCAAACAAGCTTCTCGAAGTAGATTATGGATTAATGCTTATGAAAGCAGCTTACAAAAAGTTTTCAAAAATGCTGCTTTTTCAAAATTTGATATAAAATTTAGCAAACGTGCTTGTAGTTGAACACCTGAACTACTAAGCTGTGACCCCCCACCTCGTAATCGTATTTAAATCAATTCCCCCCATGTTTTTGCAGGCAAAAATTCTTCAGAGCTAGAGGCATTGAATGAATCACTTCACCATTTGCTTGATGGAATCCAAGTGACTTCCTTATGTTTCTTTATTGGCAGTTTCTTAATTTGATATTGGTGAATATTCTTTCCAACAATGCATAAATTCTGAGAAGAATCTCTGTTTTCTTCTTTTTATGTGCTTTAGGAAGATTTCTATGCTGTTGTAGATTGGGCATACAAGATTGATCCTCTGCGCTGCATTTCAATGCACGGTATCACAGAACGGTATATTTCTGGTCAGAAAGCTGATGCAGCAGGGTTTGTTCGCCTCTTGCTAGATGACCTGGAATCTAGAATTTCTATGCAGTTTACCCGTGTAAGCTTTTGTTTCAACCATTTATGCATATACCTAAAAATACCCACAGTCTCATTTGTACCCACAGATATAAGTAATGCACTTTTGTTGTTCACTTGCATTGCAGTTTGTAGATGAAGCTTGCCACCAAATTGAAAGAAATGAGCGGAATGTTCGGCAGTTAGGGGTCTTGTCATATATACCCAGGTAAGCTATATTCCTTTTAGTATTCAGGATAGATGTGTATGTCAAACTTTGGTTACAGTTTTTTCACTCGCTTGACTAGATTAAATTCAACAAAAAATGTTACCTCAATAAGGTCAACAAAGTTTACAAACACATAACTGAAGATATCCTTGTGAGCTTTTAATGAAGTAACTACTCAGATATTAGGTTAATACTTTTATGGAAAGACCAGGTGGAAATAACTCGAACTCAATTATTTCTTCATATTGGACTAAATATACTCCCTTAAAGTCTTAAACCCCTTTGTCCTTTCCTAACCGATTACAGCTTTCTTTTGTTGGGGGTTGGGGGGGGGGGGGGTAACAAATATTTCCCAATCCAGTTTATTCTTTTTAATACATTGGCTTGAAATGGAGCTATGTGGTAAACTGGAAATGTTCATTATGCGCTATTATTGACTGTATAGTAGTACGGTCAATCAATGAAGTCTATCTATAAGAAATTGGATGTTTAAAATCATATCCTGACCTCTGATACAATGAATTCCATTTAAGTGTAATTTTCAATATAGATTTGCTACACTTGCAACCCGAATGGAGCAATATATCCAGGGGCAATCAAGGGACTTGGTGGATCAGGCATACACTAAATTTGTGAGTGCTCTGATATTCTCTACTCTGATCTCATAGTGGTGCCATAAGCCCATAGCTTGATGAGCTACAGTGGTGGTTCAGGGGGTCGAGTAGGCATTGGCCAGTAATTGGATTAAAGTGGCAACGACTCACTTTTTCCTTTAGTGGTTTACGGTCCTTTTGATAAGGGTTATTTGGTGAATGTGCTAAATTTTCAAGGAGAAATATTTAGTACGTCAATTTGAGCTAAATAAGTCATGTGATTCAAAAGCTACTTATTTTGAGGCTACCAAATGGAGCCCTAGATGCTTGTAAACATAATTTGATCCTTTCTATTGTCTTAATCGCGTAAACATTTTATCCTTGCAGAAAGCATATCTAGCCTTGATCCTTACTCTATTTGAAATACTTTAATTCTTTTTCATACTCACACACACCCCACCCCCAAATGCCCAGTAATGTATGTTTGACAAGAAATAACCCTGTGGAAGACAATGTGCCTCTCTTGCTGCATTCAGTAATTAATTACTTGTCCACATTGATTAAAACATATTTACTTTGGATGAACTGTTCTTTTTATTTTCTTTATTTTAAGAGCATGTTCATCACAAATGTATTGGATGTTCACATTTGACAATGTTAAAATATCATTTTCCCCGTCTCACCAATGTCAGAATATATATCTTTAGCTTTAGTTTAAAAACGCTTGCATTGCTCAGCTTAACTTCTATTTCTGGGAATCTATTTGGCAGGTTTCTACAATGTTCGCAACTTTGGATAAGATTGCTCAGGCCGAGCCGAAATATGCAGAAATAATGCTTTTAGAGAACTATGCTGCATTTCAGAATAGGTAATATCTTAGTGATGTCTTTTGATATATAGGGCAGTTCAATGCTGTCACTCCGGTATTGTTATCTTAAAGACACTGATGAGAGATAGTTGCTTGCAGCTTGTATGACCTGGCCAATATTGTGCCTACTTTAGCGAAGTTTTATCACCAAGCCAGTGAAGCTTATGAACAGGCCTGTACACGCCACATCAACATGATTATATATTATGTAGGTTCACAAAATTCTGATGCATAATTGTTTATTATTTCCAACCACATATTTTTAAGTGCTCCTTACTTGTACAAGTTTTTTGTGTAATTTTTTTTTTATAAACATGCCTATTAAAATATTTCTGTGCAGCAATTTGAGAGACTCTTCCAATTTGCTAGAAGAATTGAGGATTTATTGTACACAATTCCCCCAGAAGAGGTCAGTTCAATTTGCACCCCATTTTCAGTCAAATTGCATCCAAGGGGACTCAATTTCCTTATCAATATTCTTTAAGGGTCCGTTTGGACCATAAAAGATGCTATGGGATGGGGGAGGTCAGTTTAAACTTAATAAAGAAAGTTTATTAAGTAACCTCTAATTTATCCTCAATTCAATACCAACCATATGACTCCATCTTTCTTTAAAATCACACCACTTCCTCATGTCCCAGTCTTAGTTGGATTTTCAGAGGTTATACCAAGCATTAATAAAAACTATGCAGTATTTCAGTTCTTTCTCATTTCCCTATCATTTTTATCCCATTCTAAACAAAGGGAAGCATTATGGTGCTCTTCCCTAGCTGGCTCTTAGCTGGGCATAATTTTTATCCTTTTGTCCAGATTCCATTCCAACTTGGATTGTCTAAGACGGATCTTCGAAAGGTGGTCAAATCTAGTTTATCAGGGGTGAGTGAATAACAGTAATGAACTTTTTTGGGGGGATAAGTGGATCTGGGTAGTGATGGATGGATTGGTTGTGCAGGTTGATAAATCCATTACTGCAATGTATAAGAGATTGCAGAAGAACTTAACATCAGATGAGTTGCTTCCTTCATTATGGGATAAATGCAAGGTATTATGCACTGTTTATCTACCTATGTGTACATCTCTCATCAATCAGAGCTGTTAAATTTTAGCCACTCAATTGTTTGGCGTTTCTTGTGTAATTAGGGATATGTTTTTTGGGATTTGTAAATTAAGTCTCTCAATGATATACTCCATGATTCAAATACAAGAACAATTGTCCTAATTAATCCTTCCTGTTAATGGGGGGCATTCTCGATAATACAGAATGTCAAGAATACCCCCCATAAGCCTTAGTATTAAATGTGATGGATTAATTGGATCTAAATTATATCACAATTGAGGGACTAAATTTTCAACCATGGAAAGGCAGACCCGATTGCATGCTTTCAAATGTTGAGGGACTTCAAGTTTATGGTGATTTCCCAAGTTAAATGTTTCTTTGTTTATCATTTTTACTGGAGGAAAGTGTTTGTGTTATTGGCAGAAGGAGTTTTTGGACAAGTATGACGGTTTCCATCAGCTTGTAGCTAAAATATACGGTGACGAGGGCATTCCATCTGTCTCAGAAATGGGGGGAATCCTTGCCTCGATGTGATAATGTGCACCAGATGCCCTTCCCTCTCTATGAAACACATTGGCTTCTCTTTTTCGCTACGAATTGGAGTGCTGGACTACATGTCTACCTCAATGCCAAGTTTTTGTGTGTTGTGAAAAGGAGCGTTTGTAAAAATGAAAGACTGACAAGCATAGCGAGCAAAGGAAATTTGATCACATGGGAAATGTAGTTGAATTTATTTTTTTGTATATTTAAGTCAAGGTTCATAATTTCAAAATCAACCACTCAAATTCATTAAAATGTAGAAGGTTACAAAAATAAAAGAATGCCAAGTACGACTTAAATCTAATCATGCTATATGAGCAGTATAAGCTTATATTCATTCATTTATATTGTGAAGCCAAGAGTGTCGGTCTCGTTACAAACTGGACAACTCGAGTGGTCAAATTACAAGCTCCAGTTAAAAGTTGACATCCTTTGGAAAATCACCCGCTAGCTCTGAGGCTTTCACTGCACCACTTGATTGATAAGGAGAGATGGTGTGGTTGAACCGAAGATGAACCAGTAAATCGTTGTCAATGCATTCATACCTGCAAAGTCACCACATCAATAGGTGAGATTCACTTAATTGCAACAAACACATTAAGCAATCTAATAGGAGTCAATTTGAGAAAGTGAGAAAGTGTTCTATGGCTGTTGAATTTTCTTAAGCAAACGCGTTTGGTAAAATGTTGCTGGGAACTGGGAAGCAACCTTTGACTTATCTTACTGAAACTAGTTTTACCAAACGCCTTACGTTTCACGAGCTCTTTTAATCCAAAGTCAGATTTTTCTAGAAATGGCTGTCCATGTGTATGACATGCAAAAAGATTTAAAAGTGCAGAATCATACAATTTTTTGCAGAAATTATCAATAACAGCCGAGAGAGTGATGATCTTGAGCCGCATCTCGACAACCTTATTTTCTGCGAATTCATCAAACGGGGTTTCCAAAAACATTGAGAGCCTCTCGGTATTGGTTTCAAGCTGCTGTTGCTGGTCCTCAAAAAGGTTTTGTTTTATTTCTCGTTCTCTCTGAGTCATTTCATTCTCAACTAGTTCTTCACCAAACATGTAATACGCAAATGGATAGGAATGTGAGAGTATCTGTCTCGATTGGAAGAGCCTATAATACCCTTTCATCACCCAGCTGAAGTCTTTTAAACTCCACATTACCCTTGATTCAAGATTTAAAACCCTTTGGTGCAACCTTTGCTCCAGACCTACTTCTGCTTTCAAGGAATCAGTATGAGCTTTGTAACGGTTGTAGTAGTGAGTGTACCGCAATAGCTGCTTTTTTGCATTTGCAATGTCTTCTTCCTGGTTTTCTTTGTAGCGGCCACAAGTGTGGCCGTCAATAGTTTCCCACGTGTGCTTCAAACCAGTAGCACCACCACAAAGCCAACTAAAATGTTACCCATTAACACATTAGCAGGTTTAAAAGAAAGAAACAAACATTTAATTTAAAGCAGAAACATAAAAGCTGTATTTAATGCATAAACATTTTCTACCAAGAACCCATTTTCGGCTTATCAGCGAACACTAATTTGTCACTGTTCTGCCAGAAATGATAAAAAAAAACTATTGGAAGAGTGATGCTGCGTTTGTTGTCTTCATCATCATTACACCGGTGCCGCAAAGGCTCCCACACCTTCAATGGGGTAAAGGGGTAGGATGTACGCAGTCACCCCTGTACTAAAGCATAGAGAGACTGTTTCCAAATGACCCATAGTGAAAATCGCGTCTAACATTGCGTGACTAACTGTTGCTTCATAACAAAGAGGCGCAGACAGTTTAGTAAGTCATTTTGCTTTATTTCATCATACTCCCAAGCCCAAAAAATGGGTAACATTTTAGTTGGGTATAATGATGGCCAACTAAAATGTTATACATTAACACATTAAATGTTCCCAAGCCACAATTGCGTTTTGTTGTAATGACCAAAATCGATCCTTCATCTTTATTTTAATTTAGATTTAAAACCTTTTGCTGCAACCCTGTAAATTTAATTTTTCAAGTATCTAGTTACCATTGTCTAGTACTGCACTCACCAAAATGGTTGTCCACATATGCATTGCACAAGGTTGCATCCCCCATTTTTCATTACAGGTTTCTTGCATTTTGGGCAATCTTTCGTATAGGCCGAAATCCAATTCACTGTCTCAGAATCATCACTGCACTTCTTCATCCACATCTCCCACATCAGACACGAGCAGGGTGAATGCGTTTCGGAGGAGCAACTAAAACAAAACTGCAGGCCACATTCACATTCAACATCACAACACTCATCAACCTGAATACGGATTGCATTCCCGCAATGTGGTATGCTAGGACACCATTTGACCATCTTGTTATCCTCAATGTATGACTCCAAAAGAAAACGTTCAAATTTCCCTGCCAGATCTGGATCCCTCTCACCAACCAAATCCCTAATCTTTCCTTCATCACAAATAGCGTTACACTTGTAGGCCATGCACTTTATGCGCTTACTCTTACCCTCATTTATTTGCACCATGAAATGCTCTGTCCAACCTACAAGAAACAATTTTGAATTACAAAAACTTAATAGATGCAACATATAAGTCAAACTCCAGCCATATCCTTTAGCTATCATTGTCAACTGAGTATATGATGGTAATAATAAGTCATTAATAAATATTTTTAATTCATAATAATAAATAATAATGATAATAATAATGATAATAATTATTATTGGATGTCGTTATTGTTGTAAAGAGTCCAAGTCGTGTTCAAAGCCAGGACGAACTTGGTTCTTTTATGAACCAGTATCAAATTGAGCGTGAGCTTGATCCGAGTTTGATCCATGCTCATTTTGTATAACGGCACTAATCATTGGTTATTTTGCACACAAAATAGTCAAATACCATGAGATGGCAATCCAGGTGCAATTTGTGTATGGAGAGTTAGAGTGTGTTACTCACAATCATTGCAAAATGAATGGCCACAATCCATTGTTGTTGCATTTGCAGCGGGAATATCATCAAAGCATATTCCACATGTCATGTCCACAGTAGACTCATATAAGGAAGTATCATCTTTGCATTCTACTGTTACACCAGCTTCAGCGTATAAGCTTTCCTTCCCTTTCTCCACGAAGATTGTTAAAACCTTGTCGACATCCCAACGATAGTGGATAAGTAAGGTTCGCGCATGATGTTCCTTAATCGATAGCAAGTCTTGTACTCTTTGCAAGCCCTCTTTCTACAAAAACAAATTACCATATTGCATGATTTAATATCAAATCCACTGCACTTGTGTATTTAAAGATTATACATTCAAATTGATGAAGTGTAAGTATTCTGAAGCTATTAAACTTTACCTGTGCTGTCAAAAGAGAGTCTTTAGTGATCACCTAAAACAAGTAAAAAATCATAAACCTCAGGAGATTATAAGATTATAATATTTCTCCATGATAATTCAATATTTCGAGATTGAATTAAAATTTGTCCTTGTACGTCCTTCAACATACACATATGGATTGGTGTAGCCAAGGCAGGGCAATCCAGACTCTGGCTTTTTTTGGTTAAAAACTTGCGGAGTATTTTTGTGTTAGAAAATGTTATAATATAATATGTTATAAAAAGAATTATCCTTTTTGGCCGAGACCTAAATAAAGTTTCACGAGCCTCTGGCTATATGTGTTCTCACAATATAACAAAGATCTCCCGTGTAAGTTCCTCTGCCATTAGTTGTGGTTGACAATTCATTGACCATTGGAAGCTTAGTAACATAATATGACAAATTCTAGCTACTAGGGTTCAACAATAAAATCTTCTACCAGAAACAAAAGGTAAAATTAGTATGACATACTCAAGGGAACAATGCCTAATAAACTGCGAGATGGGAAGAACTAAGAAGCAACAATTTGTACAGTGAAAACGCGCCCCCGCCAACAACAAAATAAAAGATGATCTCTGAACCCGTAAATGACACCAGTTAAGTAAATCTGTTAATGGAAGACCGAAAGACTGCAACTTGATCACTTGATCAGACAGATAGATATGCAATTATGCAGAAAATCAATTCCGTGTGATCATGGGGAGCACTTTTTTGTTTTGTTTAACAGCAGCAGGTTAAGATGCGGCAAGAACAGATGATATTAATCAAATACTCCATAACTAGCGATACCTTGCATGATGGAATTCTATCGGTTTCGAAATCCGCGATATCGTAGTCATCGTCTTCATAGTAAGCTCGATCGTCGTATTCATCACCGCTGCTCCCTTCGGAATCCATAATCTCGATTTCTTAGAATGATATTTCTCAAGGTTTTCAGGTTCGTCTAGATATACACTTAGTACTTATATAGCCTCCGCATTATTCTCCTCCCCAAACTCCTCCCTCTACTAGTAGAGTTGATGAAGACTTCGTTGGAATTTTCAAATAAAAAAATAATAATATAATAATAATAATCTACCTCTATATAAAAAGAGGTGGAAAAGTAGAACATTTTCCCGCCTAAAGTTCTGTTATTAATGGGTCGGGTCATCTACTAGGATCAGATATATGTAATCGGGTCAGTTGGTTGACGGTCTGGAGCCAAGCTGTCAGATTGCGTGTGAGAGGATCCTTATTTCGTAAAAATGGCCAAATAATCTTTGGGGTCAGAGGCCTTTGTTATTTTTTTGTTTAATATTGCAAGTTCACATTAAATACATTGAGCATCTTCACAACTCCAAAGAAATTGCATTGAATACGGTTGACTGTTTTTTCTACTATTGTTCACAATTCAAATTACTACTTTTTAGTAGTTGGGCGTTGATCCAAAACAAGAAAATCAATTAATGCTATTGGTTCAGCCTCTTTAGAGATCGAGGAGGCATTTAATGCACAGAGCATCCTTGGAATGCTAGCACGAATTGCAAGAATCATGGAATGACTATACATTCAATTTTAGCTAAAAAGGACACAACACTTTTATGGTAGGTGGGAAAGAGAAACAAAATAAGAAATTCATTAATGGAGCTGTGAATGACAAACATTGGGGAGAAGTGCAACAATATTTGAAAATCCATTGGGGACTATTGGGCCTCACACTTAAGATTACTTTTAAAAAATCCATTTGAACCTTTACGTGGTGCTATAAATAGGACACTTTGCCAGGCATTCTCACACCACTCGCAGCAACACAGAATTATTCTTATCTCCACAGTTCTTACTACCCCACAATGTCGCTATGGCAGGAACTAAGAGTGCAGGAATGTGGTCTCTCATAAGTGAGACTGACCATACAAAGACCACTTGGGCCTTGCAGGTTCGAGTGGTTAGGATATACGAAGTAGCAGCTCATGCTAGGGGTAGGAACACACTAGAAATGGTGCTACATGATGAGGAGGTATATTCACTTCAACTGCAATATTTTTAACCATTTTTTGAAAACTAACTAGGAAAGATCCTGTAGGGTACTCGGATTCACGCTGTGGTGAAACGACCTCAGGTGGCATTGTTCAGGCCACAAGTTATGGAGGACAACGTGTATGCCGTGAAGAATTTCATGGTGCTGGACAATTACCAGTTGTACAAGACCACATCTCACCCTTACATTTTGGAGTTCGTGAGCAGAACCAGGGTCGTGCATTTAGATAAGGAATTTCCAAACTTTATGTACGACCTACAGCCATTTGAGATGCTGCAAGCTCAAAGGCTGTTGAATGACAAGCTTCTCATTGGTAGTATACTTTACTACACTAAATTCTTTATGCACAAACATTTACTACAATAAAAATGATAAAGTTAGTGGACAACTAAAAAAGAAATGTTGGCAAAGTGTTAAAGGACAGAGAGAGTAATATTTTAAATAGATAAAATAAACACCAATGCAAGCCTTTTGGTTCCTTTTCACCCACCATTTAATATTTCCGTTAAACGACCTTTCCCCATCATTAACATCTCTTTCCATCATATTAAATAAAACAATCCAAATTTGTAACCCTAATTCTTTCTCCATGAACTGTAAGTGTGAGATTGTGTGATTCAATTGTGATATTTATAAGATATTGAACTCCGCTAACAAGGTTAGAAGATATATGACCTGCTCTAATGTACTCTTTTTGTGTTGATTTTGTTCTATAAGATGAGTGGGCGGGTGCATCTAAGATTTAACCATAGCACGAGATGGGTTGTGAAGCCTAAGTTATAGTATGTTAATAAAAACATGGATTTTTTTTATAGAGAAAATGAATTAATTATCATTAATATAATCGTTGTTCAGTACAAGTGAAATAAAATCAGGGGGAACCGATCCAAGAAACACAATCAGACATGGAACAAGCTGCCTGGGCCAGCCCATGAGCCGCTTTGTTCGCTGATCGTCGAACGTGAGAGAAAGTCGTCTCCGTAAAACATAAACTCAGCTCTCTAATATCCTCAGCTAGCAGTCCAGCCACCGACTCGCTCTTCCCCTCCAATATTTCTGAAATTGCTCTGGAAGCATCGGACTCTATGTCAACCAAATTCCACCCTTTATCTTTAGCCCAACTTAACGCTTCCCGGACCTCAACCAGCTCCGCCTCCCATGGCGTCAACCTACCTCGCCAAGGCTTAGCAACCCCGCTACAAAATCTCCTTGGTCATTGCGAATTAGCCAGCCAAACCCGCTGCGAAACTCCTTTACAGCCGCATCAATATTAAGTTTCATCCTCCCAGGTGTTGGTTTTCTCCACACCGCAGGCACACTTCCTACCTGTCCAACACACCTCCTAGTAGTCTGTTGCGCTAAAAACTAGCCTTCCACAAAAATCCCAGACTTGATTAAGATCGACTTTGCATCAGAATGTTTTCGGTTCCAAACTCTGTTATTCCGCTCACACCACAGGCCCCAGCAACCCCAAATAAGCCTAAGTAAGTCTTCCTTCTTCTTCAATTGGAATTCGGCTGCAATTCTCTCCAGGAAATCAGACCCTGAAAATGGCGTCCAACTCCAGCCAATTGCACTCCACGCCTCTCGTGCAACAGAACAAGTAACAAACAAATGACCCAAAGATTCACCTACTTTTCCACACAAACCGCAGACCTCGACACAATTCACCTTCCTCCTACTCAGATTTGGCGTTGTTGGTAGCATGCCGCAACACAATTGCCAGAAAAAGTTTTTTCTTTTGGGGGGCAAAATAAAAAACTGCGAACATAGAGGTCCATCCTAACCAGCTTCCACTGCCCATTTCCCCAACCAAATTCCGGTAACAACTGCGAACTGTAAAACGCCCGAAATCCTCCCACCGCCAACACAACTTATCAGGAACCCGTCTGAAACTCGTCGGAATACCTTGTATCATCCGAACATCTCGCTGATTGAACAAATCGTTGAGCAGATCCAAATCCCACTCCAACCCACCTTCCTTCCTAAGACAATCCACTGTTTCTTGCTCTAATCCAGTAATAGGGATAGAGGTCACCTTCGGGCAATTTTTACCAGGAATCCAGGGGTCATTCCAAATGTTAATAACATTCCCCTTCCCTACTCTCCAGTAGTACCCCTTTCTAATAATACTCTCCAGTAGTACCACTTTCTAATAATTTCTTGGGTTTGAATTAAACTCTGCCAAATAAAAGATGGATTAGAACCAAGTGTCGCTGTTAAAAAATCTCCATCCCGAAAGTAACAAGCTTTGAAAACTTTCCCGACCAAAGAATCAGTCTCAGTAAAAAGTTTCCAGGCCTGTTTTGCTAACATGGATAAATTAAACTCCCGCAATTTCTTAAAACCCATCCCTCCAAATTTCTTGGGCCGACACAAATAATCCCAACTGCTCCATCTAACCCCCTTATTAGACTTCCCTTGCCACCAAAAACCATTCAATAAAATTTCAATTTCCTTACACAGCTCCTTAGGGAGTAGAAAAACATTCATAGCATACGTGGGCATTGCTTGAATAACAGATTTAAGAAGAACTTGTTGGAAAAATGTGTGAAAATTGCATTAAATGACTATTTTGGGGCAATTTTTTGAGTGGGGTCCACTTCCGATTTGGGTCGGGTCAAAGTGGTTTCGGATTGTCCTTGTTAAGGGCTACAATTCGATATATGGTACGCTCAAAACGGATAACGGGTGAATGAGAAATCACTTTTCGAAGTTTACCCGTTAGAATGGAAAAACTGGGAAAAAGGATGGGTTTCTAGTGTTAATTTCCCACACCGGAAAACCCAAGGGATTTGCAACCCTTTATAAAGGGACTCCCCCCTTAAGGAGTTAAGATTCCTTAGGGTAGAGGCTCTCTCCACGCGCGCAGGGGGGGGTGCAAATCAAATCCCGAAATCGGAGAAGAAAAACCGCGACCTGCAAACACGACCTGCGCGGGCGACCTGCAGACACGAATGTGAGATACGAGTAATTTTTGTTTTCTTCCCGAAACATATATTTTTTCCCAGTTAACAGAAGTGCTCCGGAACAGAAGACCGACCCTCTTGGGGTCTTCTGATGGTCGCGGGACAGAGACCCTCTTGGGGTATTCTGATGGCCGCGTACATGCTCCGGAACAGAAGACCGACCCTCTTGGGGTCTTCTGATGGTCGCGGGACAGAGACCCTCTTGGGGTATTCTGATGGCCGCGTACAAGAACCCCTCGGGGTCTTCTGATGGTCGCGGACCAGAAACCCTCACAAGGGGTCTTCTGATTGGCCTCCGATCAGAACCCCTCCCGGGGTATTCTGGTGGAGGTCTTCTGTCGCGCTTCTGAAACGTTACAACAATTAATGCCCAACGTCCATTAATTCACCATTTACACACAACAAATCCTCCTATATAATGGCTGGCAGGTGGTTTGCAACAAGACACGTTCTTACACGAATTCATACACTCCAAGCACCTTTTGCACCCCTAAAAACACACTGCTAGCATTCTGAAAAATTCCTTTGTGTTCATACTGTGTTCTCGTTCGCTGGAACTTTTGTTTGTGTGCTCAAACATTAGTTCGTAGTATCGTATCCTGGGAAACGATTGTTGCAACGCTCCTAGCACCGTGGGAGGCAACAAATACATTTTAAGGAAATCGTGCGTAGCACGAGCTTTGACTAATTCTGCTTCATCTCCTTTCTTGTTTTTCTCTAGTCATTTTATTTAATTAATTTATTTTAATTAATTTTCTTTATTTTCCGAAACACACCCAACAGAACTTCCCTTCCTGCCCTGGACAAAAAACGGTTATTCCAACTCTGAATGCGATTAACTATCCTTTGTTTCAGAAAAGATAAAATTGCCCTCTTATTTCTCCCAATCAAAGCAGGTAAGCCTAGATACCGTTCCTCTTCCCCTGCCAAACCAACGCCTAGCAACTCCTTCAAGCCCTCCTTGCACTCCTTCGTCACATTAGAACTGAAGAAAAGCTTAGATTTATTTAAATTAATTACGTGACCCGAGGCAAAAGCATAATCACTCAATGTTTCCTTCACAACCACCGCTTCTCCATGAGTGGCCTTGAAGAAAAGCAAACTGTCATCAGCAAAAAACAAATGGGAAATCCTAGGAGCCCCACGAGCCACCGCCACTCCATGCAGACGCCCAGCCAGTTCATGTTTCTTTAACAAAGCGCTCAGCCCCTCTGCAATTAATAAAAATAAATACGGGGATAGGGGATCGCCCTGTCTCAGTCCACGAGTAGGGACAATAGGACCTATATCAGTATCATCAAATGGGATAGAATAGGATACCGTAGACACGCACTGCATAATTAAACCAACCCAGTGCTCGTTAAACCCCATATGATGTAGCATACCTTCCAGAAAAGACCACTCCACCCTATCATACGCCTTATTCATATCCAATTTTAAACCGACATAACCAGAAATCCCTTGGGTTTTTCTTTTCAAATAATGCTGAGACTCAAACGCTATCATGATATTAGCAATAATGGATCTGCCCGGAATAAAGGCACTCTGCTGTTCAGAGATGCACAAATGCAACACATCTTTCAATCTATTAGCCAGGACCTTAGAATTTTTTTTATAAATAACATTACACAGGGCAATAGGCCTCCAGTCCCCCATAACCTCCGGATTTTCCTTCTTAGGAATTAAAACAATATTTGTGAGATTAATTCTTTCCAGGAGCTTACCTGATTGAAAAACTTCTCGGCAATATTTGACCACTTCCGAACCCACCACATCCCAGTAATGTTGGAAGAAACCCGGACTTAATCCATCCGGTCCTGGAGTTTTATCCGGATGCATATCGAAAACTGCCGCTTTCACCTCTTCTTCTCGGATAGGTTTTAAAAGAGCTTCATTATGTTGTGCCTCCAACTTCCTAGGAACACAATGAAAGACAAAATCAGCTGCATTATGAGAAGAAGAAAATATATTAGCAAAATAAGTGCCGATTGTACGGCCAATCTCCTCCCTGTCCGTTTCCCAGCTGCCATCTTCCAGCCTAAACCCCTCGATTTTATTCTTCCTTCGTCTTTGTTTAACCGAATTATGAAAACATGGATATAATATATGGTTTCGACCCTAATTATACATGTTACCATGACATATCAAGAAAACAAAAGTATAATTTGGGTCTTAGAACATCGAATATATATATGTGTGTGTGTGTGTGTTAGACTTAGAATTTAGAAATATTTGGACAATGATCTTTTCTTAGTTGAGAATGATGACACTATAAGGAACAAATTAAATCATATTAGGAGATTCTATTGGATTGATGTTATTGATTATACATTGAAATATAATGTTTGCTTTCTGAAGCCGGTAATCATGACAACGGTGGTGGGTTCAGTGTGAGAGTCCAAAGTGTTAAAACTGTCAATGGACTGGGTGATGAGTCTTCCAAATTTACATATGAGAGATCAAAGTGCTGAAGTGAACACCAATGGTGTCCCAAACAACTATGTTAGTATGTTACAAATGCAGAATCAAATGGAGGATCAGAAGACCATGGGAGCAACAATTCTAATGACTCCTTCGATAGTATAGCCAAGCTAGAATGAATTACACTGCAACAAATGGGTCAGGATATATTATGAATGGAATGACATTTGAAGATGCTCAAGAAGCTTGGACTGCAATTGCTAATTATGGTGTTAAATTTGGTTACAAGGTGAAAAAACTTGAATGAGAACAACATGTTGACTGTAAAATGTTTGAATGTGGAAGGATATTCGTTTAGAGTATGAATTTCTCAAGATGCCCATTTTAACCATTCCGAAAAAATGAAAACGGGTGCCTTTTTTAAGTATATGATGCACTATTAAATTTGTCAATGTACTTTTTCGCAGCATTGGAAAATTTCAATTAACTAGAAATTTGAGAGATGGTAATGCATCGGTGCATATTGCATCCAAAATCATTTGGTACCGTTCCATTTTGAAGTGGGACGGTACCATACCATACCATGTCGATACTATTAAAGCTGAATTTTGAATTAAGCCATTAATGATAAGCATAACAAAAATGTAACAACTAATTATTCTATGTCTAACATTGTAATTGAAACATAAAATGCATAATAATTAAAATCTTACAAGTCCACCATTCAAATTTAAGCAAACAAATGAAGTAAATTATAAATTATCTATCTTCTTTGCAGTAATCCCGTAATTTTTATCCAGTGAGTGTCTATTAATTTTGTATTCCTAATTTCCTACAGCTAACTTGTCCGAGAAACTAAAACGTAGTAATAAATAAAAACGTATAAATAACTTGAATAAAAACGGTTTGCATATACTCTGTACAATAATAATATAATAAAACTATAATGTAAATGGGTTGAAATCGATTTGGCATGGGTTAAGGAAAAAACCTCACTATATTTTTTTGATCGTCAAAAACATGCTATCATTAATTCAATAAATCGTTAGCCAGATGGCTAGAAATACAACTCGGAAACTGTAAATATTCAACAGACTGATCTGAGATGTGAACATGTGACTTTGCCAGGGCATGAGCCACACGATTCGCAGACCTTCTACAAAAAGAGATTTTAAAGGAACTCTTTGTTTCTAACAAACTACGGATATCATTAATAATGAGATGAGCATAGGATACTCCTTCATTCTTTTGCAGAGCCTGAACCACCGTGAGAGCATCTGTCTCTATCTCTACTTGCTGCCAGCCTCCATCAATTGCTCCCAAAATAGCATCTCGGACTCCCATAGCCTCCGTCTCCTCCGTCGACCACCCTGCCTTGTGACTCACCCCACGACCCTTCAAGAAAGAACCCCTTTCATCCCGAGCCACCCAACCCCAAGCTCTAATCCCTCCTTGATGATTTACTGCGGCATCAACATTAATCTTAATGCCTCCCTGACTCGGTCTCGCCCATCGTCTCTGCTCTACTCCTTCCGGTAACTTATTACTAGAATCTGTTCAGCCATGTATTTCCTGCCAGTAATTAATCTGTTCGCCCAACATGTTATCAACCACTCGAATCACCGTCTCAGCCTCTTCCACTTTATCCTTCCAAACAACACCATTCATTCTCTTCCACAAACTCCACAAAATAGCCACAAATCTGCCCCCTAACTTTCTATTATCCTGTGCAATACTGTCCCGCAACCAGCTCTCAAAATCCTTCCCATGTGTCTCGGTTTGTATACCTGCAAACTGCCAGGCAGCCTCGACATTGGGGCAGCTGCGCAATGCATGCTCAACACTTTCTTCATCTGAACTGCAACTTTGCAACCTCCAACGATAGCCACACCCCTCCTTTTTAAATTCTCCACTGTTGGAAGCGTGCCATCCAGTACCTGCCACACAAAATATTTAAATTTTGGAGGGATCTTCAACTCCCATAATATCTTCCAGCCCTGCCAAGCTCCTTGATAAACGTCACCCACAAGAGATTTATAACAACTTTTGACAGAAAAAATTCCGTCCTTCTCCCCCACCCACCAATAGTCGTCCGCTCGGTCAGTCACGCTAATAGGGGTGCTTAAGATTTTCTCCCTATCGTCCGGAGTAAAGATACTACAAATTCTCTCATGATTCCACCTCTTTCCGGACTCATCCCGAAGAGCCGCCACATTCATATCGCGAACATAAGCCGGAAAAACCTCACTATATTAGAACACATTAATCTGGACCATTCATTTTTAACTTTTTTGCACACCCCTAACTCCCTAAGCATCTAACCAGCTTAGGGCCTGTTTGTATGAAATGTTTGAAAGCGTTAGTAATGGAAGTGTTTGAATTTAAATTGACAAAAATTATGTTTTTAGGGTAAATGAGAAGGGTAATGATTGTCCATCACATCAAAACACTCCAAATCGAGATGTTAAAAAAGTGGACAATTGAAGTGTTGAAAAGATTATTATGAATACTTCCTAACCTTTACTGACACTTATCAATACATCTTAATTTTTCTCCCAAACAAGTGTTAGTATTAACACTTTCTAACACTTCCATTACCAACACTCCACAACACTCAATCCAAACATGCCCTTAAAAATCTCACTAGACAGGAAGGGCTTATTTAACTTAAAAACTTACGAGTATATGGTTATGATCTGGTCAGGCGCGCCTGACCAAATGTGCTGTGCGGACTTGGCTGTTTGGGTGCCTTCCCGGTCGAATTTTTTGATGAATTTTTTTGAGCATGTTTCTCATCAAGTCTAGTTTATCCATACCAAATTTCAGCTTAAAATTAGATCGGGAAGACAGTCAAATAAATTCTTGAAACATACTGGTCATTCTGAGCATATACAAAGACCAGTATGTTTCGAGAATTTATTTGACCGCCTTCCCGATCGAATTTTGAGTTGAAATTTGGTATGGATAAACTAGACTTGATGATGAACATGCTCAAAATATTTCATAAAAAAAATCGACCGGGAAGGCACCAAACGGGCAAGTCCGCACAACACATCTCGTCAGGCGCGCCTGACCACATCATTACTCTATGGTTTCAATGTTTCATTATTGTTAACTACTCGTTAAAAGCGTGTGGTTTTGTTACGTATGGTCTTTCTTTGACTTCAAAATGGGGTTTTGCGTATCATCCAATTCTCTGTTCACACCTGACATTTTCTTTCTAAGGCATCCATTGCCTCCCCCTGCAGTATAGCACATTCTTCCACACTTCGCTCCATTAAAATAAAATTTCTCGTTGTTGTGGGTTTGAAAACGATGAAAAAGATTCCTTTCTGGTTCAGGGAAAATTCCATATAAAAAAAACTTTTTCTTTTGTTGGTTTGCCCGTTTTGTGTTGGAAAGGTAAAAAAGGGCAACGTGGAATACTTTTGTGTTTGTTTATTTGTTGCGGAAGGTGTTGGTTTTTGAGCTTTTAGGTTTTTCATCTGATCAAGCTTCTCATTGGGTTCGTTAGCTGCTGTATAATCCTCTCTATGAAGTGAGTAAATTTTGAACGCTATAGAGCATTTCAGCTTCAACCTTTTATTTGGTCAGCATTGTTCTTTGGTAATTGCTATATACTCAATTGATTCGCATAGAATAGATGCATTTAAGATTTTCAGCCTTCTTCAGCCTTTGACTCTTTCTAATCTATTGTTTGGTAAATGCTGTACTCTTACTGCTTTGAAATAAGTCTTGCTTTCAATCTGCTGCTTAGGCTTGTGATTTGTCCATTAACTTTTGATTTCATGATTTATGATTCTGAGTTCTGCAAACAGTGCCTTATATTCCATAATTTTCAGGTTGAATTATCTGTGTTCATGAGACAGTAGTTTATTTCAAAATGGGTTGGCTGAGCAAATTTTTTAAGGGATCTAATCACAAGGTTTCAGAAGGACAACATGTTTTGAGCTATGGTGGACACAAGGAGGAAAATCATCCATCTACTTCATGGGTATGTACTGTTTGCAAGTTTAGTGTTTTATTTTAACCTGTTTGGTTTTCAAAATCAATCTAAGCAGATTTAGCATATCAGGTTAATTTTTAAAATTTGGGGGTCTTCTAGGAAACTTACTATCTGCTTCTCGGGTAGAGGTAAGGTCTGCATATATGTCACCCTCCTGAGACCCTGTTTGGGAATGGGACATACTTTTTATGTTTGGTTTGGTTTAGGTTTTTTTTAATGAAACTTATAATTAATTTTTTGGTCTTGGATGGAGTGCTGAAGGTTCCAGAAACTATCCAAATGTATTTAATGGAGATAAACAAATTCACTGTTTGTGAAAGCTCAAAATATCAGATGTTGCTGAATCAAGAGACATTGATGAAGTTGTGACATATAATAACTGAATTATCAAAAATTTATTTAAAAATTTAGGATTGAAAAATAAAATAAAATAAAAATAAGAGGCCTTCAAAATACAGACTTTAGGGATATTTAAGCTCAAGTCAGAGAAGAATATTGTTAATATTCACTAATTAACTAAATCGTCAAAGAATATTTTTATTATTTGGCATTTCAGCAAAAAACTTATCGAAGAACTACATTAGTCATTCAAATAGTGAATGTCATTAAAAAATACATAGTGTACTATATCATCATTAATGCTTAGTGTAGACCTAAGGACTATGGTTAGCATTTGCCATAAAAATAATATGTAAAAATTAACATGAGACAATACTGATGTCTATTGAACATGAACTTATTGAGAGTTCTAATGTTAAATAGGTTTCATAAATTAAATGAAGGTTGCATCAGCCTATAGTCTAGACATCTACCTCTTTGTGATACTAAAAATGTGAATTGATGATTAATCAGTGTTAAAAGAATGCTAATTGATGATTTATCAGTGTTTTCAGCCCTTTTCTTATTGCTGGTATAATACTGTAGGACCCATTGTCGGAGATTGAAGATATAGACCGTGCTATCGCATTGTCGCTTTCAGTAGATGACCAAAATGGTAAAAGTGTACCGGGTTAGTGCAATGCTCATTGTCTCATACTCATCATAGTGCCTGCTGTTCTTCTATTGAAATCTTGTTAGAACTATAAAAAGACTTTGGGAAAGTTTCTTCACTATCTCATGCAGTTTATAAATTTCGTAGTTTTCCTTGTAGTTCTTTTTCTGATACAAGGTTTATTTTAGTGTTCAATATAGTTGATTCAATGAGAACTCATATGTTGGGCAGATAAAGAAAAACAGTTAAATGAAGATGAACAGCTTGCCAGAGCTCTTCAGGAGAGCTTGAATCTCGAGTCCTCATCACTATGGAAAGGAAATATAGATAATCATGGACGTGGGGGTCGTTATGGAAATGGAAACTATTATCAACCTATCCCTTTCTCCAATGCAGGAAGTTTCAGGTTTCTATTCCAAGTGATCTTATATGTCATAATCTTTTTTCACTTCCTGCACTAAGTGATAGAAGTATAGAACCAAACAAGTCCTCAAGTTGGTTTTTATTTATCCTTGCACAAATGTTTTAATATGCCCTTTCTCTTGTTTTCAATGTACTGCTTTGCAAAGTGCCAGACACAAAATTTATTACCTTTCTTTCTCAGTGCCAATGTTAAGACCCTATATTTGTCTTGTCCACGAGATTTTCAATGTAACAGTGTCACACTATCTAAGTTGACTGCATGGGATGTGAGTAAAATTGGTGAATAATGGGAAAATGTAGCGACAAAGCTCTTTTTTTTGGCTGAAATTAGTTAAATGAATGAAATGACAACTTCACCTTAAGTCTAATTTATTATTTTCTCTATTTATGAAGAAACTATTTTTCTGATATTTATTTTGAATTTGCGATAATTCGTAAAGTTTAACTACATTCATTTTGACCACAATTTTAGGCTTTCAGTAACTTCAGCCAAATATAACCTTACCAAACAGGCCATTATTGTCTTGATATACGTATTACAGTGAAAAGTTTTTCATTATGGTAGGATATGTGGTGGGTGCAACAATGAGATTGGCCATGGGCGATTCTTGAATTGTATGAGTGCTTTATGGCATCCAGAGTGTTTCAGGTGCCATGCATGCAACCGAGCAATATCTGATTATGAGGTATGGAATCATGTAATCTCTTTTCCTGTGCCAAAATCAGTTCTATTAGCAGCGGGCCATTGGCAGATTTGGAACATTTTTCTGCCTAACAAATATTGTGTGTGTGTGTGTGTATACACACGCACAGACACATAATCTCTTAAAGTACTAATCACGCACACACTTAATCTCTTAAAGTACTAATCTTTCATTCTATATACACATAAAATATTTTTAAATTTCAAATGTATGTACAAGGTTCACTAGCGCCCTTCTTTTTAACTTTCTGCATTCCTTTTTTTCCCCAGTTCTCTATGTCCGGGAACCGTCCATATCACAAGACTTGTTATAAGGAGTATTTTCATCCAAAGTGTGATGTATGCAAACACTTTGTAAGTATCAACACTACATATATAATATATTATTTCATTGTTAATAGTTTATGTATAATAGTTTTATATTTTTGCATATAAATGGCTTCTCCTTTCACCTGCAGATCCCAACAAATGCAGCAGGTCTTATTGAATATCGTGCACACCCTTTTTGGTCCCAGAAGTACTGCCCATTTCATGAGCGCGATGGAACACCACGCTGTTGTAGCTGTGAGCGGATGGAGGTAAATCCAACAAAAGAAAACTGTAATATTTAGGGGTCCATTTGGAATGTGGAAAATGCCAGGGAAAGAAAATGGGAGAAATGGGAGGAAAACTAGAGAGCAAACATTACTGAAAGAAAAGTGGGGGAAGAAATTGCTCTCAATAATTCTGTTTTAGATCTTTGCTCGAACTTATTTGATTTAAATATTTCTATTATATAAAGCCTGTATAATCTACGTTTTTTAAGGAAAGGTAGTCATATTTGGGTTTTCTTGGTATTTCTGTGGTATACCCTAACAGGCAAACATAAAAATAAACATTTCCTTAGTTTCCCTACCATTTACTGAGTTTCATACATAGCATGATAGCCTTGAGGCGTCATCTCTTCACAGGCGCACCTCATCAATCATTATGTTCTCATAAATTTGGAACAAAATGTGTTTTATATTGTATGCAGCCACATGAAACAAATTATGTTGCCTTAGGTGATGGTAGGAAACTCTGTTTGGAGTGTTTGGAATCTTCCATTATGGACACCAATCAGTGTAACCCCATTTACCTTGATATACAAGAATTCTATGAAGGGCTAAATATGAAAGTGCATCAGAAAGTCCCATTGCTATTGGTTGAGAGACAAGCCTTAAATGAAGCTATGGATGGAGGGAAACATGTAATACTATTTTCAAATCTCAAACCAATAAATTTGTTTTTTTTTTTTTTAATTCTTTTTGCACAACAGAAGAGCTAACTTTTTGAGTTCTTTTCAGGGGCATCATCACATGCCTGAGACAAGAGGACTCTGCCTTTCCGAAGAAAGAACAATCAGCACTGTAATAACATCTTCGCCATTTTACTTGAGCTATCTTTGGAGTTTTCGGGCCCATTTGGAACTGGAAAGTGCTATGAAAAAAATTGGAGGAGGATTAGAAGGAAAGGAAAGTTGAGGGAAGATAAACGATAGATTCAAACTAATAAATCCATTTTGGCTATTTTTTCAAAGTTCAAACCCATTTTCTTTATTTATTTCTATTATATAAAATTTTCCATCATTTTGCAATGGAGGCAAAGACGCACTATTTTTGTCTTGAGAATATGATGAAATAAATCAAAATGGCTCACTAAAGAGCAATACTCACTATGGGTCATTCCATGTACATCTAAATTTCGACGCGATTTTCACTATGGGTCATTCGAAAATAGTCTCTCTGTGTTTTAGTACAAGGGTAAGGCTGTGGGAACCTTTACGGCATTGGGTTAATGACGATGATGATTTCTATTATATACAAACTAAGAAATATGAACATATTGAAACAAAATATAAAAAATAACCTTCCTTAGCTTTTTCCATAAGATTACTGTATTTTACCAAATAAATAGTATGGAAACCCATTTTATACATTTATTGCTATTGGTGTATTCCATTTTCTTCTGTATTTTCAAGGTAAAACAATATATACAAAAAATAACCTTCCTTAGCTTTTTCCCTTTTCCCTACTATTTTATTTTTCCAGGATCCAAAGATGCCCTAAACTACTGTCATCATGTTTAACAGTAAAATAACATGCCGTTTACACTGCATTTTCTAGATACTGCGTGGGCCCAAGATAGGGGCTGGAACTCGTACCATAGAGATGAGAAGAGAACCATTTAAATTAACACGGCACTGTGAAGTGACGGCAATACTAATCTTGTATGGTCTTCCTAGGTATTTTCATTTCTATGCTTCTACACCTCCAACATATACTATCACTCAAATTTAAAACGTTTTCTCTTGGAGAATGTTTCATTTTGACGATAAACTTGAATGCTCTTTCAGGTTATTGACAGGATCCATCTTAGCGCATGAGATGATGCACGCGTGGCTTAGACTTAAAGGTATCCGTTTTCTTCCTACAATCAGTTTCATTGCCTTCGATTTCATATCATTAAGATTCTTTTTGGTGTGAGAGGTCACGGGTTCAAGTCTAGGGAGCGGCACTTGTCAAAAATGACAAAGCATTGCTCCTTAAACACCTTGTGACGGGACATTTTCCCGGACCCTCACCTTGCATGGATGCCAACATGCACCGTGCTGCCCTTTATAGAGACTAACTCCTCCAAACCTTCCCTCCATGATTTTCCATCTGAACAGACCCTAAGGGTGTGCTTGGGCGGAGGGTTGTGAACGGCTAAGTCTATATCATAATGTATATTAAGATTTTTAAAATTGAAGAAATAACATAATAAGTATTACTCCCTCCGTATTTTAAAGTTTGCTACACTTTCCTTCTTAAAATGTATTTAAAAGTTTGCTACACTTTCCCTTTTTGGTAAGTTTTTCCTTTAAAATTACTCAACTACCCTTACTTTTTCTACTTTTTATCTTCACACTCTCTTCTACTTTTTCTACACTATTCATTACCCCTACTATTTCTTTCTTAAATAATGTGCCCAATGCTATTAAAGTGAACTTATAAATACGGAGGGAGTATCATATAACTTTTCATTGACTCTCTTTGTTTTGAATAACATTTATTTTTCGAGAAGATATAGTCTAAACCCTCCAAAGCCGTCACCCCGAAAACCTCTAATCCCTCATCCAAACAGACCCTGAAGCACTAACAATAACACATTCCTGCCTTACTCTTTAGCTTAGCTTTTCACAGTGATAGGAAACTGTCCAGGTAAACAGTAAAATCACAGAATCTATCAAGAACAACTAAGAGTTTTTATTGATGAGGAAGAATCGATTACAGAAAGAGAGTAAGAAATCAATGGCCGAAGCCCCCAATATGAGCCGAAGCCCCCAAGAAAGAGAGTAACTCTCGATCTCCCAAGTCCCAGTCTGAAAAATGTCTAAACAGCCTACCTAACCCTTCCCTGCCTTCTGCTATTTATACTAAACTAATACACTTTTATTCTTATTAATATGCTAATAGGCCCAGTCCATTATTCTTATTATATATTAGGCCCGGACCCTAACAATACTCCGCCCCTTAAACATCCACCTTGCCCTCAAGGTGGATGATATGACACAGCCACTAACTTATTCTCTTCTTTCATCCTAGCACCCCTTCCTCTCCAGTACTGATTGGTCTGCTGGGCCTTTAGCTTTACTACTTCCATCTTTCCCTCTAAGTATTTCACAGCATAGTTCCACATAGGCCAGACAATTTGATCCAGAACTGTGATTTCTGCAGGTTTTTGGAAGACCCAATTGCAGCTTGCTGTAACATTGGGGACAGCTACTTCGTGCCTTTGAACACTTCTTCCTTCAACGTCCTGCTCTCTTGATGAGTCATCTCTTTGTAGAATCACCTCCTGCCCTTGTACTTTCCATTTGAAGGTCTGACTTTGGAAGTTAATCTCCATGTCTCCCAAACTTGTTAACCAGTCCATTCCCAAGACTAAATCCATGCTCCCCAGCTCCAATAAGTAATAAGTTTGGTGAATACCAATTCCTTGCACATTCAGATCCACACCTGCACACCTGCCACAGATTGGAATACATTCGCCATTCCCTAACTGCACCCTATTCCCTGTGAAATGAGTATAAGGAATCCTCCACTTTTCCGCCAAGTTTAGTGACAGAAAATTGTGTGTAGCACCTCCATCAATGAGTACATTTACTGTGCTTTCACCTTCCTGCCATTTCAGTTTACCTCTCACCTTAAATGTTTTCACAGGGGTTATTTCTTTCTCATCACTTACAGAGAATTGCATGGTCTTCAATTCTAGAGGTGTGATCTTATCCCTGCCTGATTCCAGTGCTTCAAATTCAGACTCAGCTTCACCCTCCGATCGTTCCACTAAAGTTATTGTATAATTCTTCATCTTGCACACATGTCCCCTTCCCCAATTCTCTCCGCATTTGAAACATAGCCCCTTTTTACTTCTTTCAAGCAATTCTTCTTGTGATAATTGGGGTTTTGTATTCCGCTGAACTGAATTTGAAGATTCCTGCTTCTTCATGTTATCAACTAAATAGTTGCCAGATGGATTCTTGGTTGTGTAGCTAGAACTCCCTCTACAACCATCTTCCCATTTCTGATTTGCAGTCTGCACCTTCTTTCTTTCCTCCTCTTTATCTTTTACAAACAAAGTTTCCAAAATTTTGTTCTCAATCGCGGAGGCAGTATCCATAACTTCTGCCAATGTTCTAGTATGATGTAACTTCAATTCTGCTTTTATATCTCTTCTCAATCCCTTAAGAAAGGCTGCTTTTAAGACTTCTTCTGTTAAATGGCCTTGTGAAGTGATAGCCTTTTCGAATCGATCTCGGTACTCTTGAATTGTAGCTTTCTGTTTCAGACTGAAAAGAGGCCCAAGAGGATCGTTTACCATATCAGGCTGAAATCTTCTAGTCAACGCCCTAGTGAAAGACTCCCAGTTCTGATGTGCAGCTTGTCTCTCCCACCATTGAAACCAACTGAGAGCTTGATCCTCCATAGCTAGAACTGCCACATCAATTTTCTCCTCCTCCTCAGTTCTATTTAACCTGAAATAGCGGTTCATTCTCATCAACCAACCACCAGCGTCAGCTCTATTGAAAAGTGGTAATTCAATTTTCCTTTCAGTCCGGCGGTGGTGATCGTGTCTCCTGTGTCGATGATGGTGGTTTCGCGGTGGTGAATAGTCCGAACTGTTTTCCGATCCTTCTGAACTGGTTGCCCGTCGCGATTGGTGATGGTGATGCGACGATTGATGGTGAAACGGTTGATGATGATGCGACGTGCGATGCGATGCAGATGATCGGTGAGAGAGGCTTCGCGATCGACTGGCGAGGTTCTTCTGAAATTCCGCCAAGTTCGCTTGCATCGTCGCTTGCATCGATGTCTGAATCGAAGCCAATTTCTCCGCCAATTGGTCCGCCATATTACTCTGCAATTCACGCATCCTCCGATCCAATTGATCGTGTAATTCTCTTTGATTTCTCCCAATATCCACCATGCTTCGTTCCACCTCGTTCATTCTGGCTTCCATTTTGGAACGCGTATATCTCATTCAGCGATCGAACACTGCTCTGATACCAATTGATAGGAAACTGTCCAGGTAAACAGTAAAATCACAGAATCTATCAAGAACAACTAAGAGTTTTTATTGATGAGGAAGAATCGATTACAGAAAGAGAGTAAGAAATCAATGGCCGAAGCCCCCAATATGAGCCGAAGCCCCCAAGAAAGAGAGTAACTCTCGATCTCCCAAGTCCCAGTCTGAAAAATGTCTAAACAGCCTACCTAACCCTTCCCTGCCTTCTGCTATTTATACTAAACTAATACACTTTTATTCTTATTAATATGCTAATAGGCCCAGTCCATTATTCTTATTATATATTAGGCCCGGACCCTAACACACAGTGCTCATATTAAGCTGCCTTTCCATTTTCTTGAAAGGTTATCAAACTCTTAGCCAAGATGTGGAAGAAGGCATATGTCAGGTTTTGGCTCACATGTGGCTGGAATCACAAATTTTGTCACTTTCAAAAGTCAATGGTGCATCATCATCTTCAGCACGCTCATCCCTGACTGGACCACAATTTGAGTTGAAACTTGGTGAGTTCTTTAAACACCAGATAGAGTCAGACACATCTCTGGTATATGGAAATGGTTATAGAAGTGGTAACCAGGCAGTACTTAAGTATGGTTTGGAGAGGACATTGGAACATATTCGAATGACAGGCACCTTTCCTTGTTAAAATTATAATTTATACTACGTATATCAATTTTTTTTTTTTACTTTGGTTCTTCATAAATCATTGTTACTTTCCTTTTGCCTGTGACTGGTTCATATTGGCTTCCTGGACTCACTAGTTCATATTGGCTTGCCTTCCTGGAGGACCTGGACTCACTGATCCACCATGCAGCTACTCTAGGATTTAGAAATTCTTATACCTTTGTGCTGTTCCAAAAGGAAAGATTGATTTGTCACAAACGATCTGATAATAGGAAATACAAAAAAAAAAAAACAAATTGGGGTTTTAACATATAGATAATTCATGGTGTTTTGTTGTTCAACAAATCTCCAGTCCTGATTTCTTTAGCACAACTGCAGCAGCCCAACTGCGGGGAGATGGAGGTTTACAAGGTTGAAGTGTTGAACTAAATGATTGGGTTGAGCATATCGTTAAAGGAAAATTAATCAAAAGGGTGAATTGATCTATGCACAACCTTTAATTTGTTAAAAAAGTTGCAACTTAATTGATGAAATATCATAGCTTGCTATTAAAATGATACGAAGTATGTCATATGAGATCGTATTATAGTGACCATAAATACTCGTAGATAATAAATTCAGTTAAATATGTGAGTATGTGACATTGTGACCATAATATCACTTAAAATTATCACGTTGAAAATCCAGGTGAAAACTCTAATTATTGATAATAGTATTATTTTTTGCTGGATTATCTAGACTTTTACAGTAACGGTTCAATGTTAAATGCTAATTTAACGTCTTTAACTAGGATGAGTTTAGAACTTGTGACCACCTACTTATTAGGAGTGCCATAGTGATGTCATCGAACCACATAATACTTGAATAATGATGTTATTGATCACAGTTTATTCTCAATCATTAATTAACGGGTTTAAAGTACAATGATATATTGTCTTTGGAAATGTACAATGATACTTTTTAGTTTTGTTATTTTCATACGGAGTATAAAGTTTTATGGGGTTAAGACTATAATATTAGTAAAAATCAACAAATGGACAAAAAAAGATCTTGATGTTTAAATTTCCGAAAAAGAGACTAAATACAATTAAGAAGACCATTATATCCCTGGATTCCCTGCCACTAGATGTATTACTACGGTACCAACGTCAGTGGTTAGCTGAAACAATGATAATCAGCTACAGTGACACATCAGCTACCCATCTACAGTGACACGTCAGCCACAATGACTACAGTGACTACTGCCACCGGTCCACAGTTACGTCCGCCGCCGGTCTAGAGTGACCTCCGCCGCCGGTCGACAGTGACATCCGTCGCCAGTCCACAGTGACATCCGCCACCGGTCCACAGTTACATCCGCTGCCAGTCTCCAGTGACCTCTGATGCCGGTCCACAGTGACATCTGCCGCCGGTCCACAATGACATCCTCCGCCGGTCCACAGTGACATCCGCCGCCGGTCTCCAGTGACCTCTGCTGCCGGTCCACAGTGACATCCGCCGCCGGTCCATAGTGACATCCGCCGCCGGTCTCCAGTGACGTCGCCACAGTGACTCCGCTTGACGCCGCCATAGTGACGCCGCGGTGATGCCTGATTTTTTCAGTGGCATCCGACAACGCCGCTGCCGCCGTCCAATGGCCGTCTCCACGGCTCCGCTTCAAACCACCGCCACTATTGTAAACGATGCGAGCAAACCACCAGCTCCAGTCCATCGCCCTTGCCACCACCCCCATCTTCGGCCCGAACCTTAATTTTTCCGCCGCTGCCTTCGCACAGATCTGGAAACCACGCCGCCTTCGCACAGATCTGGAAACGGCGCCGCCTTCGCACAGATCTGGAAACGCCGCCGCCTTCGCACAGATCTGGAAACGCCGCTGGAGCTTTAATTTTTTGCGCCGCTTCCGCCATTTTCGTTCCAATAACCCTAGCGGCCAGCCACCGTCGATACCATATGTTATTCTCCACGTCCGATTGGGTATCGAGACTCCAACGGTGGATGACAAAACGATGCTCATCGAAAAAGACGTCCATCCATTCACCACGACCGGACATAAAGAGAAGAAAACGAAGATCGTCAGCATGGGTAGGGCGGCGACGAGGGAAACAACGACGGAGGCTAGAGCGAGCAAGCGCGGCGGCGGCAAGCGAAACGGAGACGGAGAGATGAAAGCTAGGGAGAGCGAGCGCGGCAAGCCGCCACCGTCGTTGGTACTTGGTAGCGGTTGATGCCATCCACCGGTAGTTTCTGCAGAGGTGAAGAAGATGTTCAGATCCAAGGGAGAAGATGTCCAGATGCGTTCAGCTAGCACGGAGAACTATGAGTTTGAAAAGGGTATTTTAGCCCTTTCATTTAATTTTAGTCACATTTCCGTCGTAATTGTAAGTTGAACACGTTTTTGACTATTTAAAGCCCAGCAGTATTATTTCGGCCATTTATTCAAGTTTTATTGGCAATTTATTACTTTCTACTTGTGTGCGCAATACGTAGTATATATTTAGAGAATATTACTTGAAATAGGACTAAAAAGGTTTGAAAATTCCAAAATACGACTGTCATGTTTTTATTCCCAAAATAGGACTAATTACTGACATGTTTTGACAGTAACAGACTTCAAACATGGCAGTATTTTCCAAAGTTGATGGTAATTACTCCTATTTTGGGAATAAAAAACATGACAGTCCTATTTTGGAATTTTCAAACTGTTTTAGTCCTATTTCGAGAACTTTCCCATATATTTAATGTTTTATGATAATATATTTATGGTTGGCATATCTTTAACATAAAGAAAATAATTGTTATTTTAATGCGTAATCTTAAAAAAAGTAGCCCCAGAACGGTTTAACAAAACAAAGTCAAAATAGTACGTAGAAGATAAAATGAGGAAGTATAACAAAGAGATTAGAGATGCAATGAAGTGGCTTTTTAACAAATGCATAATATGTATGGAATTAAAGGTTTGAGAGCTCCAATCAAAATCTATAGTTGAAGGATGAGAATTATATATTCATTAGGGAATTGAACATTGATCATTATTGATGTATAAGCAATGGAACAATGAAGTACTTTTGGAATTTGAGTCATTCTTTATATAGGAGCTCTTTCCGGCTGTCGCCATTTGAGAAGTTTTCCGGTGAAATTTTTTGATGATTTCTTTTAGAATCTTCTTCATTAAGTCTAGCTTACTCATACCAAATTTCAGCTAAAACTTCAATCAGAAAGGCAGTCAAATGAATTTTTGAAGATAACTGCGCAGTTTAAGAGCGCAGTACATTTCAGAAATTGGATTTGTCCTTTTTTCAATCACACTATTTCACTATTTTTCCATCATAACATTAATAATTTATATCACCTTTCACTATTCTTAATTTACCTACTTTTGTAATGAGAACACTTTTATGGTACAGAGGGAGTATCAAACTATCAATTACTCCATATATGTTGTTCTTTTACATATATACCTCACATTTTAATTTGCATCATGTACTTATACAAGAATATGTTTAATTTTCTGCTTTTTCTTACATATTTATTTTACTCCCCCTTTCCGTCTTAGTTTTCATAGAACACTACTAGTCTACTAGAGCTATTAAAAGTTAGTGAAGTGATGAGTACTAAAATTTTTTACAATTGTACAAAATACATCACACTACATGCAATTCTAGTATATGTACATAGAGAAATCATCATGTCAGGCCGGCCTGACTGGGAGAACTGTCTGGCGGAGCCCTTTTGGCAACCTTACCGGTAGAATTTTTTGATGAAAATTTTTGAGCATGTTCCTCATCAAGTCTAGTTTGTCCATATCAAATTTCAGCTCAAAATTCGATCGGGAAGGCATTCAAATATTCTTTTGAAGTTGACTGCGTTTTTATATGTATATTTTGACGCAGTCAACTTCAAAAAAATATTTGAATGCCTTCCCGATCGAATTTTGAGCTGAAATTTGGTATGGACAAACTAGACTTGATGAGGAACATGCTCAAAAAATTTCATCAAAAAAAGCCACCGGGAAGGTCGCCAAAAGGGCTCGGCCGGACGGCTCTCCCGGACAGGCCGGCCTGAGAAGAAGAGTTCTCATGTCTCACAATTTAAACGTATTTGTATATAATAACTTAAATTAAATAGGAAACAAATAAATTACTTAACGCCAAGGTTGTCCAAGTATTATTAGTGCTGGACTCGGGCCGGGCGGCCCGGCCCGGAACCGGCCCGGCCCGGTTACTGTTAGGCCCGGCCCGGCCCGGCCCGGGGCCCGGAGGGTCCACCGGTTCGGTTCGGCCCGGCCCGGCTGCTGGGCGGTTCGGGCCCGGGCCCAGGTTTTGGTGAACCGGCCCGGCCGGTTCGGGCCCGGTTCGGGCCGGATTTTAATTTTTTTTTTTTTTTTTTTTGAAATTTTTTTAAGTTTTAGGTTGGATTAGGTATTTTGGGCCATTTGAGGTGGTTTGGGATGGTTTGGGGTTGAGGGGGAGGGGTAGGGGATTAAATAGGAGACCAAAAAAAAAAAAAATTAAGTGGGCCGGTTCGGCCCGGCCCGGTTTGGCCCGGAACCGGAACCGGAACCGCCCACCGGCGGTTCGGGCCCGGGCCCTAGTTTTCTGGCCCGAGGCCCGGCCGGGCCCAGGCCCGAACCGGGCCCGAACCGGCCCGAGTCCAGCCATAAGTATTATAGTATCACACAATTATTTGTGATGAATCTGTAGGTATCCATATAAAAATGTAAGACCTTTTTTTTGACAATATAAAAATGTAAGACCTAACTTAATGGAAAATATATAACCACCAAAAATAATGTATATTTAATATTGTCATTATAGTAATATAATCTATTTTTTTTTGTGAACTCATAATTGATATTCCGTAATTGATAATAAGATAACGGTCGTTTAATTGTTATCAATTTATCATTCTTCATTCACACACCTTAAGATCGGAAGATTTATTTACACACAAATAAGCATCATATCATTTATCCAATCATCTCTTTTTTGACTTTTTTTAGTGCTTCATAATATCCATTGCAGTCTTTGCAGAAATTAATAAAACACTTCTAACGCTGAAAATAACATCATTATGGATCACTCGATCAGTTGTAGTGTAGTAAAAAAATATAATAAAAAATCTAGTGATCTTTAATTTTTTTTTAACACGTGCTTTATCCGTCTCGTTAAAATTGTTTCATCTTTTTCTTTTAGAGTATCTTGTTAAGATTGTTTCATACCAAATTAGGTAAATTTTGTGTGGTTTTAAATCATTCTCATGTTATTGTTACTTTATCAATTCAATAACAACTACATAAACACACTTTTATTAATAACTACACTTTCTCACGTCACAAACTTTAGTGGGACCGATGTAGTAATATAGAAGTTCTTTTCATCAAATTGGGCCGGATCAGAAGTCATATTATATGCCATCATACATAGATATTTGTGTAAATGAAATGAACATGAAATAATATTTGTAGTGTAAATGTATATATATATATATATATATATATATATATATATATATATATATATATATATACACACACACACAATACTTGGGGTACTAATTAAAGTCCCTATTTATAGAATTATAGATTGAGAACAAAGAAGAGAGAATAAAGAGTTTATTGGGAAGAAGTAAAACCCTCCTCAAAACCATAATGAAATACAACCAAACCATAAATAAATAC